ATAATGACACAGCAAGAGTGCAAAAAGCATTATTGCATGAGAAAGTATGCATTGTTTCAACAATAAATGAATTAAACATTAACACCATGCTGTAGTTTTATGTAGAATGTATTTTATTTTGTAAATAACATGTATTTTACTACATGTTGTATATATATATATTATTTATTGATCATCATTTATTCATTGATCAAACGTGCATAGCCCTTATACACCCACAACACTAACGACACAATATAAAAGCAATTGAGTTAAGTTCATTAAAGGGATATTCCACCCCTAAGTAAAATGTATCTATTCCCCGGAGTTAGATAAGAGGAAAAAAATCATTTTGTAAACAGCCCAGTCATTCTCCTGATCTGGCAGCAGTCATTTTGCTTTAGTTTAGCATAAAACAATGTAAGTGAGAGGAAACTAGCATTTGGTTTTTCCCATTCACTTGTTTTATTCTAAATTAAAGCAAACTGACTGCTGCCAGATCAGGAGAATGACTGAGCTGTTTACAAAATGCTTTTTTTCCTCTTATTTAACTCTGAGGAATATAACAACAGACACAATTTTACTTAGGGGTAGAATATCCTTTTAAAGGTAAACACAAAACAAAATACCATCTCTTACCTTGACAACTGCATCTGGTAGCCCAACAAGGATTTGTAGGCCATTTTTTCCCCCCAGAGTCTTGGTCATCAGTGATTCCAGTGTGGGTAGGAGTGTGCCGTAAAAACAATGGTCTTCTCCGTGAAGAATGTCCAGTGCCACAGTAAGTGGTTGCATGACAGCACAGTACTCTCTGATACACTGATGCTCTCTCTCATTGAAACATTTCAACTGTAGTGTGGATGAGATTGTGTTCAGCTCCACCAAAGGTATCTTTGAAATCCTCTCCAGAGCATCATAGAACGAGTTCCACCTGGTTGTACAAGGTACTAGTAGCTTCTTTGCAATAATGTCATCCACGATCTCAGCAGCCATTGTGGAACGAATGGCCTTGTTCCACAGGCCAGCACATTTTGTGGTGGAACTCCTGTAGATGGTTTTCGTCGCAGCTTCAGACAATAGCCACTTCTCCACATCAGTGCAAGAGATGAGATTCATTGTGTGCGACGCACATCTCCGATGTGGAGGTAAAGAAACTGTGTCATCAGCATCATCAGCAGCACCATTCTACAGCACATCCCCAATGGAAACAAAAGTCACCTCATCCTCCTCATCTTCGTCATCAGACTCAGGTGGTGGCCGGTACACTTGAAAAGCCTTGACAAAATTGGAGCCATTATCTGTTACAGTTGATGTGATTTTAAACGACAGGCCATGAGAAGAGTTAATGTTGTCCAGCTCACTTGCAATGGTGTCAGATGTATGTCGACCCAAAAATCTCCTGCATGCCAGCGCTGCTTTCTCACATTTCATGTTTTGTGGACTTATCTAATGAGCAGTTACACCAAGAAAACTTTTATTATGCCGAGTCCAAATGTCTGCTGTTGTAGAGACATGTTCTAACTCGTCAAATGTTGTTTTGAGCTCTGACTCCATTTTGATATATTCTTGGTCTAGGTAACTGGAAAATGTCTTTCTGCATGGTGCCTGCCTGGCTCTTCCTCGCACAGGTATATGGCTAATCAGTCCTCTGAAAGCATGGGACTCAACTGTTGAAATAGGTTTCATGTCTTCCACAACATACCTGGCAATCAGCCCGTGTAGCTGTGGCTGGGTGATAGACTGTGCAGCAGTGTGGATAGTTTTCAAACCTCCACAGAGAGTACAGTTCACCACCATATTCTTGTCTTTTACCGACAGAAAGGAAAAATAATGAGCATACTTCCACGAGAGAACTCCTGCTCCCCGACTGTCTTCATCTGCCGCAATAGTTCTAGCCTCCGTGTGTTACATCACAGTGTCACCTGCGCTTTTACGTTCACCATAGAAATGTAACCTTTTTTTTTCTTTTTCGGAAACGTAACTTTGTTTACTGGCATGTCGGTGGTCGGTGTACAATCCTTTTCAATAAAGTTTGTTTAAAAAAAGTCCAACACGGAAACTGCGGTCCGTAGTTTGGCACGTAAGGTACCGAATAACGAGCCTATTTAAATCCCAGCAACGATAAACGTGTTCCTGATTTCGGCAAACTAACTAGTTACCGTGGACGTTACCACAATAATAACGTAGTTACTGTAACACGTTACTTAATAACGCGTTACTCCCAACACTGCTAGTCAGTGACTTGATGCAATTTGCTGGGTTCCTTATATAGGACACATTATTTCTGATTGGCTTAATGAACTGAACTGAATTGGATGTTTATTATGTGAAGTGCCTTGAGACGACTCGTGTCGTGATTTGGCGCTATATAAATAAAATAGAATTGAATTGAATTCCCTGTCTCCCTCCTTGAAGGCTGTTTTTTTCTCATTTAGCAGATTCTTCAGTTCACTGGTGATCCAGGGTTTGTTATTAGCGAAGCACCTCACTGTTCTAGTGGGTATGATGTTGTCCACACAGAAGTTTATATAGTCAGTGACACATCCAGTCATGGCATTGATGTCCTCTTCATATCCTTGGCAGAGAGTCATCCAATCTGGTCTCAAAACAACCCTGCTGTCATGGTCTGCGTCTGCCCCTTCCTTCATGTGCCTCCTGGTGTTTCTCCATCCTCTCTAGATTCCCTTTTGTGTCCTAGCGCCCTCATGCGTCATGTCTGCATCTTTCTCATGTGTCTTCTGGTTTTCCCCATTTGCCCCTAGATCTCCAGCCCTCTAGGTTTCTCAAGTCATTTCCTTTAGTTATAGCCTTTCATGATTTAGTACGTTTTTTCCCATCAGTGTTTATTATTCCCCCCCTCCCTTTGAATTGTAGTTATGTTTCCTGCTCTTTTGTATTAGGTTTTATTCTTAGGTCAAGTTAGTTTCTCCTCTGATTAGTCATTGCCTTCACCTGGTCCTCCTCCCACACCCCACACACCTGCAGCTCATCTCCCTCTCATCCTCCCTGTGTATTTAAGCCCTGTCTTGTCTCAGTGTGTTGTCGGTCCATTGTTTGTAATTCTGTCATGTCTTCTAGTGCCCCTCGTGTTTGGATTTAGTCTTCTCGTGCCTTTGAATATTTGGATACCAAGACCTTCATCTGGATTTTTGGACTTTGGCCCCCAGCCTTCTTTGGATTAATTTTTGTTGTTGATCATCCCAAAAATAAAGGATTTATTTTATTTATTCAACTTCTGTCTCGTGTCATCCTGGGTTTCTGCATTTTGGGTCCTCCAACATCTCAACCTGACACCTGCAGGGCTTCTTCAGCGTCCTGTGACCATTTTCTCACAGTTCTTCTTGTCACAGGTTGCCTCTGAACAAGTGGTTTGTATTCTGAGCAGAGAAAAACAAGATTGTGATCTGATTGTCCCAAAGGAGGTCTTGTTTTTGACATGTATGCATTCTTTACATTTGCATAACACAAATCCAATGTCTTGTTTTCTCTGGTGGAGCAGCTGACAAACTGATGAAATGTCGGAAGTGTAGCAGAGAGCTAGGCATGATTAAAATCACCAGATATAGCCACAAATGCATTGCGGTGCCGGGTTTGTAGCTTAGCGACAACGGAACTGGTGGCATCACATGCATTTTCAGCAATGGCTGAAGGTGGAATATAAACGGTTGCCAAGACAACACTGGTGAACTCTCTTGGCAAATAATATGAGTGAAAATTTACTGCCAAGAGTTCAATAATGGGCTGCAGAGACGGCATTTCACTGAAACATGACCTGGATGGCACCATCTGTTGTTGACAAATGCCACTCCACCTGCTCTTCTTTTCCCGCTCCTCTTCAGATCTCTGTCTGCTCGTACAGTCAGGAATCCTGGCAGAGAGACGCTGGAATCTGGGATATGGTCCTGCAGCCACGTCTCAGTGAAACACATAACACTGCACTGCCGATACTCTGGCTGAGTCCTTGAAAGGGCTTGGAGTTCATCCATCTTGTTGGCCAGTGATCTCACATTGCCCATTGTGATCGATGGAAGAGATGGTTTGAATTTCTCTGTGTCTCCGTTTTGCTCCCGCTCTGCACCCACGCTTCTTGCGTTTTAGCTAATTTGGGATTTGTGGCTTCAGTTGAGGTATTATTTCAGCCTTTACAATGTTAATCAGCTGCTCCCGATTGTAAACCAGCTTGTTGCCATGGTTAAGCATAATAACAAATGCTCAAAAAGTGAAAACATAACAGCAAAAATCCTCCAAGCTTCACAGCACCAGAAACACAAAAGTAAAATGTCCAAAAAAATTACCATTTTTCTTGCGAAATTAGAAGAAAAAATGTCCAAAATAAGGCAAAACTTACATATAGTCAACAGAACTACTCCAACAAGCAGCCACCCAGAGCAGCGCAGTTCCAGAATGCACCATTTGTCATTGACAGCAAAAGACGTTTGGACGTGGAAAGTGGAGACTGGTGTTTAGCTCCCTCTCTCATTTCCTTTGTCATTGCGGATTTTCTGTTCTGACAGAAGCATCTCAGGGAAGATATGTTTTTCATTAAGTGTAATTAGTATTTAAAAATGTTGAGACATTATTAAACATTGACAGCAATTGTTTGTGCCTTCTCACTAAAGAAATCCCACAATGGTAACTTACATATAAAAGTGACTAAAGTATTGTATTTGAACTTCAACTGGAGGGCACCAGCATCAACACATAGAGCTGGTAACGTTAAATGTATTTAGTTGTAATTATGATTTTATTTATCCACAAATGTGTTAAATGCTCTGGAGACGGAAAACTGAACTTTGTGGACAAATCATTAAAAAACAATTGTTTAAAATCTTTTCTCATGATTTTAGTCTATCTGTAGACAGTTTATATAATTCAGCAAATCAGGTTTTATAACTAGACATTTCTTCCTCCATGCCTGTCCAGTTTGCTTATAAATCAACTCTAATAGCAGTGATGTGTTGTATCACCCCCTAGTGACAATACTGGTGTAATGTTCCAAAATGGTACAAAACAAATAGGAGTCAGAAATTGAAATAACATTTATTGTTTGAGTTGACGTAAAACTTTTCCCTCCTGTGTAACATATTGATTTGCATCTTTTTTGTCCTAATGCTGCTTTTCGTTTTATAACACATTCGTACATTAATATCCACACTCACCCACACAGAGCAGCAGCTAGACCCACATCTATGTACTCAGCGAACGCAGAGGGAGTATCACATCTCGCCTCGTAACGTGGTCCCCATTTTAACACCCACGTCTTGACGTGATCATTGCAAATACATTTTCAGTCACTTCCCACAGACAGACCTGCAAAATCCCCACCAGCACCAAATGTTCAGCTTGAGTAAACTAAGAGGTAAAGTAACAAATAGTCTACAATTTACCTTGCAGGACGGCTAATACAGAAACACACAGAGCAATAAAAATACAAAGCATCAAAGTTCGAAATCAAATCACAGTAAAGGAATTAAGATCACTTGTTTAACTACCTTGCTAACAGAAAGCGGACGGCTCTATTAGCACCAGCAGTGCTTTTAAGTACAAGTTGTTTTATAGAATGTGTGTACGTCTAAAGGGGTGGGGAATTGTTTAGATCAAACAGTCGTGTTTCCATCAACACTCAAAACTGTTATAAAAGGTTTGCAACCTTCATGGATCTTTTGTCCACCTGAAGGTGAACAAAGCAATGCAATGAAAACAAAACATATCAGATATCAACCTCAGAAGCTCCATGTTAGGCCAGGCTCACATGACAAGAACATGAAGACAAGTTTTGACCCCAGTTTTAACCCACCTTTTAATTCTTTCATTTTCTGAGTATCTTAAAGATGAGCCTTAATGTCCAAAGATAATCTTATCAGAAAATCCTGCAGTGTGGGTTGTGTTAGGAGAGCTCTGGTCTGATCAGAGGAATATTGGGACCGCTTTGTTCACAAATTAGGGATATTCGACTTATTGGTGTGCCCTGGGGACAAAAGTGCATGCCACCTGTTTAATACGACACTTCAAAGAGCCCACTGGACCCAGGGAAATCTTGTGGGAGCAGGTGGTTTTGAGGTTGCATTGGATAGAAGCGAGCAGCCAGGAAAAACTTCCTGCATTCTATAGAAGATGGAGGGAGAAACTGAGGCAGCTAACAAAAGCTAAAGAAAGAAAATAAGATATGAAAGAACTTAAAGATAGTCACAAGCAGCAAAGGTGGGCTTTGGTCAGCTAGACTAATTGAACAGGGCTTTATTTTAATTGGCCTACATGTGGAGAGGAGGGAGTGGGTAGGTTTGGATGTACATAACATACTGTGACAGCAAGTGGACTAGAAAGAGGAATGGGAGTGGGCAGTGATGTTCATAAATTCAATTGGAGTGAGATTTAAAAAAATAATCCAGCACACTAATATGTTTACTTGGAAGTAACAATTGATTTTGAGAGTTAATTTCAAAGAATGTTTTTGAGTGAAGTGTTCATTTATAAAGTGTCATAATTATCAGGAAGGCAAATGTTGCACCCAGGATACAATTTAGCTAAAACATTCTGAAGCAACACTTAATCGTTTATACATTTTTAATTACAGCCTTTAGGTATTTTTGTGCCGGTACAGGTTCTAGAAAATCTTGATTGCATACTACATCACGTGTAGAAGCTCTGTGGAGTGTGTGCGTTTGTGCCTGGCTGCTCTAGAGAACAGAAATATATGCAGCGTAGGACAAATACAGCTGCCAAAGAGAAAACTCATGTAAATGAAATGCATGTGTGACAAAAATATTGTGTGGGTAAGTTTTTCTTTATACTACACTGTTTGGCATACCAGTTACATCTGCATGACTTTCCTAATTGGTATGCGTTTCCCTGACTGCTCCACACAGTCAAAGTGGCAGAAAACGTACACGCTCATTACAGGCTCTGTTTCTGCCCCTGGATTTCCCACAAACGTCTAACTTTTGCATTGGCCACAGTACAACATGAGGTGAGGACCAAACTCCAATCATTTTGAGGAACTCTACTGAAAAAGATGTGTGCACTCCTGCAAATTATGTTTAATTTGTTTGCAAATCATCACCTTCTGAATCGTCTCAAATTTATTACATAATCAAACTGAAATAGTTTTCATGACACTTGGTGTACATCACAATAAATCGTGATATTTCAACATTCATGTAAATGCTGTGCATGTTTTTTAGCCTCATTTTAACTTCTCCATCTGCATCTGTACACAGACCGCCATTAGCCAACGTTGTGAGGGCTGTCCAGCAAGCATGCAGACACAGAAATAGTCAAATCCACTTTTCTAAACATCGTCAAACGAGACAGAGAGCAAGCTTGTGATAGGCCAGGATCCTTTAAGTTTGTCAACAGCACTACATTTGCCCCCTTAAAAATGTATTAAAAAAAGAGAGCAGAAGAAATCTAAAAGCAGACAAGGAGCAGTTTAAGGAAAGCTTCGCGGAAAAACTCTGAAAATACGAATGCTTCTTTCCCCGACTGGAGGAGTGAAAAGATGCACAGCAAGTGTTTTATTCGTGAACGGAAATGACAGGAAACGTGGGTTTAGAGGTGGTGGAGGACGAGGGACAAATTGTGCTAAGAAGTCTTGAAATGCAAAAATCACAATATAAACACAATAGATTTAAAACCAGGTCTTGAGATAGTTTATATTTGTCATGTTGGTATTGTTCTTTTTGCAGTAAGAATAGTATAATAATGAACTAGATTTTTGAGAGCAACTTTATATATGTATTGTGATTTTAAATGAATTATAAGGAACACCCCAGAAAGAGTTGCTGTCAGGTTTTTGACAGCTAATGGAGAGCCAAACAAGTAAAAAATGTAGCCCCACCCAAAAAATGTTAATTTACCACCTTTCATTAACAGGTTTAGAGCACTAATGATTTCAGATTCTCTTTTTCAATCCAATAAATCATTTGTTTACTTTGCAGGCCACAAACCCTTCTCAAACTTTTGTCACATTTCCTGCATTTTCTGACTCTTGGATGTAACCAGGGTTCGCGTTACCGGGGAGCTAAGGACAGCCTGGCTCCCTCAAGAGTGATGGGCTCCCCAGAAGCCCTCGGCTGATAGACCAAGGGGGAGCCCAAATGAGGAACCTTACATTATTTATATGGACTTGGAGTACAAGGATGTCTTTTGACCTTCCCGTGTACCGTCATGCCCCCTCCCACTCTCACGGAATTATATTGGTGATAGAATGGACAACAGAAAAGACTTCAACCCCACCGCCCCAGCCTGCGGCTGACAGGGCTCCCCCAAAAGCCTGTGTGTGGGCCAAACTCTAGAAGGGGTTCACAGTTTTTTTTTAATATATTTTAAGACATTTTGGAAAGCCCCCCACAAAGGCCATTTTCATGGCTCTTTCAGTCCCGGCAGCAAATTGAGCACCTTCATGATATTTTTGGAAACTCCCTTGAATGCTTTCTTGCAATTAGTTGCAGTAGCAGCAGTCTTAGCCCAGTGAGAAACTGGCTTTGCCCCCAAAGTCAGGATGTCCACACCACAAGGCTGCTCCAGGACCACTGACACGATTCAGGAAATGGTTTAGTTATGTGGTAGCTTTCTCCACCATCAGGTGCAGTGTAAACAGCTTTTACAGGGGCAGGATGAGAAAGTGAACGGACTTCTTGGCACATCTCACACACAATGACAAATGTCTGCAGATAACTCAAGCTAAAGGTACGCCTTCCATTCCTCGCTTAAAAATGGGGACAGACTTTCTATGAAAACATACACACATGTACCTATTACCTTTTACAAAATAGTCCACTTCACTTCAAAAGGAACAGATTTCCCACATTAAGGTGCAAAAATAATAATGATTAAATAAGTTATTTAGGCTACGTTGGAATAAGGCAGGAAGAAAATGGTTGCTGTGAACAAAATAAAAACAAACAAGCAAAACATCAATGTGTAACCAGCATTTAACCCAACAGCACCCATATCTGTGGTCCAGTAGAAACATCAGGCGCAACCATCAGTGGCTTTGCAGCTGCAAGAGTAAAGTCTGATCAAGTCGACATGTGTACTAACAGGTGCTTCAAGCAACTCTCAAGCTGAATATTTTTATACTTTGGGAACAGCGTTGCAGGATTTTCCGTTTCTGAATGTGCTTCTTGCTCCAACTGGAATAAGTCTGAGTCAGTCCACATTAAACCATCTGAATGGCCTTTTGTTAAGTGCTAAGTGATAATGTCACACTTTCAAAAAGTGCCTTTTCACACTAAGTGTTAAACATTTAAAGTCTCAACCATGAGACTAAGAATTAAAGATGTCTCGAATCTCAGCCAGGAATGATGCTAAAACTACCAGTATGCTGGCAACAGCATCACATCCTCACAAGTCTTACTCATGGGGAGAAAGGTCGGGGAGAGCTTTAGTAGATGGGCCCGTTAAAGTTTAGTAAAGGGTTAGTTGTAAACTCCCACTGAATGGAGAGGTATAATAACGTATGAACATTCAGTAAAAACAAGGCAAACACAAAACATTATTTCATCTCTCCTCATAACCTCAAACAGTTCTTAGTCACATGGTCTGAGCCCACAGACAGGCCAAGAGATCACCGCTCTCAAGGCAACGGGACGTATAAACAGTCTAGAGCTGCTTCAAAGGTGCTTGGGGATCAGAGGGCTCTGTAGATGAAGGATGATCCTCCCAAATGACACTTGGCAACGGTCAGAGAAAACAAACAGGAGGACAAGTCGCTTTTGGAGAAGCAAAATATCTAATCATGATCAGGAGTGAAGAGCTTAAGCAATCTGAGAGGGGGGAGGAATAGGAGGTGGTAGTATGGTGGTCTGCTCCTCTGAGGCCTGCACTATCTCAGGTGCAGCTATGGTGGCAGCACACTTGGCCAGAGGCGTGGGGGAATGGCTGCTGGGAGCTGTGGAGTGGGTGGGGGTGGTCCTGGAGGTAGGGGTGGAAGCTGAGGCAGGGGGCTGGGCCTGGACCAGGTTGTCAACCTGGGCGTGGGACTCTGTAGTGTCTGCCCTGGTAGCAGCTGTCTTGTAGTTCATTTTAAGGATGTGCTGCTGGAGGTGTCTGATCCATTCCTCCTGCACTGACAGAGGACCATGGAACTCCACCTCGCAGAACCTGATGCAGTAAAACAATAATATAAAAACAGAAGTAAACTGAGAATTAATTAATACAATCTTATGTTAAATGAGTGTCTCACAGAGCCAGATCTATCAAACCACAGCTGCACCAGAATGCAAAACTCCAATATCAAATGGTGAACTCTTCTGCCCACACAGAGCGTTTTATCTTGTATGTCCCTAAGCAGCTACGGTATTTTAAGATGGCGCATGACTATAGAGTGTCAACCAATTCATGCACATAAATGTCAAATTCCAAGCTAATAGGATTATTTAGAATAGACTTTAGTGAGTATTATTGAAAAAGGACAAGTTTGTGAGTGTGATACACAGATTTTGATGGTAAACAAGTAAAAATGTGCAGTTTTCTATTTATTCCTGTAAACACGTCTAAATATTACTAGTTTTAGAAAGTTGTTGCCAACAGTCAATGTTTGAATGTTCTTAATAGATCTGCAATTCGTTTTGTTCTGAACAATTCAGCAACGTTAAAGCAGGCAGGAAAATCACGCTACATGTCTGAGCTGGTACTAAATAACAGGTGTAAAGCATACGCTTTTAACGGCCCGTTAAATCCTTGCCTTGATGCTGTCTGTGAACCTTCTTAGGAACCAAGGCTCTCTTTATTCAAAGGACAGTCAAATATTAGATCATGAATGAATGCTGCTGCTAGTGATCTAACTACTCCTACATGGACAAGTAATTTTGACAGTTTTGAACTGGTAACACAATTCGAGATGGGCGATGAGCCGTAAATGTACTCATACAGAAACTGTCATGTCATTTTGACGAATTCTGTATTTAAAAAACACGAAAAGGTGTGTAGGTTGATGATGTTCATGTCCCGTTAAGATGACTTGCTGTGGACTGGAGGGTGTGTAGTCCTGTGACTACACACCCTCCCCCACCACCCCGCTCTCTCAGTTCACTGCAGCAACCCAGACAAAAACAAGCATCCAGCTGATGCTGAAAGATGCACTAAAAAAAAAAGAGAAATTGCCTACGAATAGCAAAAGGGTCACGGTCAGGATAGCAGTATCACACTGCGTGACCTGTGGTTGCATACGTTACGTTTTAGTCTGCTGGAGCTGCAGTATGAGCTGGTTTCTCACATGCAGCTCTCAGGCCGCAGCATGTTTGCATAAATATGGTAATGCATATTGCTCAACACAGCCACATGCTGTTTAAACTGTCTGAAATGTAAGCAACATGTTCTTTTCAAATATATTCATAATATCAATACATGTCTTATCAATCTCCGTAGCAGTTTTTTCTTGCATCTATTGGCATTTCCCATCTCACACTTGGCTGGTTCACCTCCCATCGCTCAGCCTGTTCAGAATTCATACAACTCAAATCCTTCATATCTGATCCCTACCCAGTTTCTACTAACTATAACTATAGTAACTATAGACCTATCTCTTTACTGCCACAGTTTTCAAAGATACTTGAGAAACTTTTTGTAATTAGATTTGAAGCATTTACCAACAAGTTTGATCTTTTAAACCACCATCAGTATGGGTTTAGGAAGAATCGTTCAACCTCATTAGCAGTTATGGATTTGGTAGAGCAGATTGCAACAGCAGTGGATCAAAAACTTCATGTAGTGGCTGTCTTGATTGACTTGAGTAAGGCATTTGATACAATTGATCACACATACCTGCTCAAGAAATGTGAATACTATGGTCTTCGTGGTAAAACCAATCAATGGCTTGAAAGTTATTTAAGCAGTAGATTTCAATATGTAAATGTTAATGATATAGATTCACAGCTTGAAAGAGTAATATGTGGTGTACCGCAAGGCTCAGTGCTAGGACCGAAATTATTCAACCTATACCTGAACGACATCTTTTCTGTATCGTCTCGGTTAAAATTTATTATGTTTGCAGATGATACAAATTTCATTTACATGGGAAAAGATATGAGTAAATGTGACCACTGGTGTAACGTATATCGTGTCCAGAGAAATTCACACCCGAGTCATTAATAACACCGAGATTTCTAACCTGGGTCTTTGTATTTATTTCCTTGGAGTTGGAGGTCTCCTTTAAAGAGCAGCAGAAAACTCACTTGTTCTTTCTACTAATTCCGCCTTTTCTGCGATCCACTGAGTTCCCTCTATCCAATTCATTTTCTCTCCCCTTTTTCTTACATTATTATCATTTTTTTTAATCACAAAGAAATTTTTTTCCCTCATTTTTATCATATTTTTGATTGTTTATTTACTTTTTAAAATCCTTTTTGTACTTTATTTCTTGGTTTATATGAAGCACCTCGTGATTTTTATCTTGCGATGCACCATATAAAAGATCATTTTGTTTTGTTTTTTTCATACTGTTGTTTTAGAAAGCATTCACATCAAGGTGAGACAAGTGTTTAAAACACTAAAGAATTTAAAAATGACTTTAAAAAGAATAAACACACAAAAAAGTTACAAAATCACCATAACAGGTTAATTAATTACTTTCCACCTCTGCGTTTCACTCACCGGCACTTCAGGGTGTAGAACTTGCCCACCAGTTTGACCAGTGGATATGATGGTGGCTTGGGAACCAGGGCGGCTATGGTGCCCGTGCGTGGGCTTTTTGGAATGCCACTTTCCGTCTCTGTTCCATCTGGACAAGATGGGTGCTTCAAAGGTCGACGCTCAAATCCTTAAAAGGGAAAGAGGCAACACAAGGCGTTAGAACTTCACAACACTTTGGTGTAAATCAGCCGTGAGAAGAACTATTTTCCAACTGCTTGCATTTTAGAGTTTGAATAAATATTAGTGGTTTTGTATAACAATGCACGAGTCCATTTTAAGTTCTTTCTAAATTTGACAGAATTTTTTTCCAACTGCTATTTGAACTGAAAATATCACTGTTGTATATTAATTCTACCACATGAATATAATATAAATTGTAATTTTATCACCCTGACATATATTAATGTCTATTTAAGATGCAACTAGAATAGAATAGCTTTTATTGTCATTGTGCAGGGTACAGCGAAATTGGAGTGCCACTCCTTTTGGTGCCAAGTGTAAAATTAATAGGAAAAAATACAATAATAATTTAAATGTAAAATCAACAGTAAAATGTACAAATATATACACAGAGCAGCAGCATTAGATGGTTCAGTGCAGGTCAATATTGTAAGCAGAATTTTTGCGTATTGAGTGAATTCAAATAGCACATATAATAGTTATTGCAAATGATCAATACTGAACAGTATTTGTGCTGTTCGGGTTAACACATTCATCTGGCTTTGTGGTTGTTTACTATGGTGATAGCTCTGAAAAAAAGCTATCCCTGAATCCATTTGTCCTTGTTTTATGTGACCTGTACCATCGGTCTGACAGTAACAGGTCAAACAGATGCTTAATGGGGTGAGAGTAGTCCTTGATTATATTGCCTACTCTACTGAGGTAATAAGAGTTGGCGATGTCCTCCAGGCTGGGCAGAGAGCAGGCAGTGATTTTCTGGGCTGTACTGATGTTGATTTATTTGGCAGACGCTTTTATCCAAAGCGACGTACAAATTTTAGCTTGTAGGGCATGTTGTGATCTGTGGGGGAAACCGGAGGAAACCCACGCATGCATGGGGAGAACACGCAACTCCACGCAGAAAGGCCACAGCCGAGTTTCGAACCTGCAACCTTCTTGCTGCGAGGCAACAGGGCTAACCACTGCGCCAACATGCAGCCCATGGAGGTTGTTTCTCCTGAGCACTCTCGGGAAGTAGAGACACTGCTGGGCCTCTTTAACCATACCATGGTATTTGCAGTCCAGGAAAGATCGTCAGAGACTTGCAGACCCAGAAAACTCATGGAGTGTAGCCTAACCCTAACCATTCACTTAATATTAATTATAAAATTATAAATGGCAGGTCACTACAGTCTGGCCATAGAAAGTGTTTCTAGGAACAGAATCTTGTTGGCGGCAGCTCACCCATTCCACTGACAAGAGAAATCCTTATCAGCAGCAGGTGATCAACAGAGTTTCACCGGCCTGAAAAAAACGCCCCAAAAAACCCCAAACTCAAATAGGGCCACCAGGGATTTCCCCAGCTGGGTCCTGGTTCCGCCCGCCGTCCCCATTAAGCCTGATTTATACTTTTCTGTGAGCGCCACAAAGGAGAGATGCACGCCAAGTGTCGGAAAGGTTTTCATATTGAAATTTCTGTTCAGGCAGCGGAGTGTTGCAAAGAAATTCCCTGCCAAGACAACACAGGGCGTAGCACTGCTCTGTAGTATCCTGAAACCACAATCTCATGTATCCGGTCCACTATAGTGTATTTACTGATGTGTTTAAATATTTCAGAGACTTTATAACACGGACAAATTTGTCCTTGATTCTCATCCACCTCTACATGCGGTCACAACCTCTAAACTCACATTTTCTGTCGTTTCCGCCCACATTTACTGTGTATTTTGTAGTCGTACCCTCATGAGCAGGTGCACTGATAGGGTGGGGGAGGGGGGGATCTGTCCCCCCCCAGATTCAGATTGACTCAGATTCCCCTCACTTTGCCTAGCAGGTTAATATTTTATATTTATATAGAATATTACATCTTCCGCTACATCGGTAAAGCCCTTCGCTGTCAGCGTTTCTCACCGTTTTTATGTGTTTTTAAGAAGAAGAAAATATCATTTCTATAGCGCCTCTCAAGATAAAAATCACGAGGCGCTTCACAAAAACAAAAAATGTAAAAATATAAAAAAGAATTTAGAAAATGGTTAAAAATATATTTAAAATGAGCAACAATAGGCAATTGTGATTAAAAAAATGTTAAGAAAGAGAGGTGAAGAAGGTCACACCAAAACCAGCTTGAACAAGTGACTCTTCAGCTGCTTTTTAAAGGAGACCACTGAGTCCACTGATCTCAGGCTCAGGGGGAGAGAGGTCCAGAGTCTGGGGGCCACAGCAGCAGATGATCTGTCACCTTTGACCTTTAGCCTGGTGCTGCACAACCAGTAGGCTTTGATCACTGGACCTCAGGGACCTGCTGGGGGTGTAGGGACTAAGAAGATCACCAATGTAAGATGGTGCTTGTCCATGTAAGGCCCTATAGACCAGAACCAGGATCTTGAAATGAACCCTGAAGTTGACTGGCAGCCAGTGAAGCTGGAGGAGAAGCGGGGTGATGTGGGTGTGTTTGGAGGACTTGGTCAGAAGCCGAGCACAGGCGTTCTGAACCACCTGTAGACGGTTCAGGGAGGTTCTGCTCAGACACGTGAAAAGAGAGTTACAGTAGTCTAAGCGTGAGGAGATGAAGGTGTGGAGAATTGTCTCAAGTTCAGAGCGGGACAGAATGGGACTCAGCTTAGCAACGTTCCTGAGATGGAAGAAGGAAGAGCCAACAAGAGAACTGACATGAGAATCCAGGGTGAGAGCTGGGTCAAAGGTCACGCCAAGATTCCTGACAGAAGGTTTGGTGTGGGAAGCAAGCTGACCAAGAGAGTCTCTGACTTTGGGAACCAGCTTGTCTGGGGCACAGATGAGGATCTCAGTCTTATCTTCATTCAGCTGAAGAAAGCTCCCACCATCCAGGTTTTGATAGAGTCTAAGCAGGTGTGTAACAGCTGCAGCTTAGACATCTCATGGGGCTTAAAGGAGATGTACAGTTGGATGTCATCTGCATAAAGATGGTAGGAGATTCCTTTGAAGGAAGTCACAGAATGTTGTGTGCTAGGATGATGTTGAGGCCAAAACAACCAAAACAAAGTGGAGACTCACCTCTTACGTCAGGAAGAATCCGCGCGTTTCGAGCGTTATCCGTTCTTTCATAATCCGCTGTTGAATTGTGATCGACAGAAGCTTTTCCGGTTCGCGCCTCACTTTTATTTACAGCAGTGGCCCAAAACGATCTCCTAACACATGGATTTTCTGCTTCCTGATCATGTGACATGTGACATATGCAGATGAAGATTGGCTTCAGAGCTGAGATGTTTGTTCTCTCGGCGCAGGGCTCGTTCCGATGCCCAGTCGTCATTGGCAGTGAACGGTTGGATCTAAAATGACGACTTTAGTCGTCAATGGCAATGAATGAGTTAAATAAAACATGTTTTGCATAAAGCATGAGGTTTTGGTTAGTAATTGAATGGGAGAATAACAAATGACTGATTTGGATAGTGTTGATCAGGCAGAGCTTTGTTGCCAGCGTTCCATTGCACAATGGCTTCAAACACATAGAATGGTTCATCTTTCATAAAAGAGCCAAGAACCATTACGCTACATATTTGGCGAGCCAACCCGACTTCTATATCTGCGATATATCCATCCTAATCCATCAACGAGCTAATTTTTAACAAAATTAATCGTTTTCTCTGTGTTTTACTTTGATGTCTTATTTTGAAAAACGGAAGTTGTTCCACACTAAAATCGTTCCTCTGGAGACGTCCGGGGAAGGATATTACGGTGAAATTTCCAATCTAAATTTAACACCAAATCCACAGATCCTGTGAGTTTTCCATCCTCGTCCGTCGGTGAGTGAATGGGTGAGTTGTGTCTTTAACTGTATGTTGTCCGCTGTGATGAGACATTGTGTCTCTGAACTCTAAAGGACAAACGGAGAGCTTCCTTTCCGCTCTGTCGCTGTAACGAGCTAACTGCTGGCCGCTTAGCTTAAATAATTCACCTTCGCCAGGAAGTAAAACTGAATCTCCGAGTTCTCGGACAACCTTTTGAGCGCCGTGAAAGCGGTGTATTTTTATATGTCTGAACAGAGCGACACCAGACGCCCGTTCTCCGGTAATCTGTTTGATCAGCAGTTAACCGCCACACCCGTTAACCCTTCGTCAGCGGCTAACGCTGCATTTCAAGGTGCGCGGAACAGCTCTTAGCCATGCTACATTCGCTAAATCGGTGAATAACTCCACTGTTCACGGAAGTGGTTATTTAACACTACAATGTGTCCTCAAATCGGCAATTCAGCATGTGAAATCTGTGCACGATTTTCGTTGTCGCCGTAACATGAAGGCTGTCTGCGGACAATTTTAAGCCTTCCCTCGGAGGAAAACGCGAAGTTTTATCCGAACAAACACCATAACTGCTTCGTTGAGCTCTTTCTTTAGGGTCCAGGGTGATGAAAGAAGGCTTCAGGCCTCCATCAACCGGTTCCCTAGCCTATGCTGCCATCTTGTGGGTGATTTTGTGTTCCATTCGGTTCTCTGTTCAGCGCACCTATTTCTCCTGTGCCGTAAAAACTAACACCACGGTCATTCATTAATTTTGAGATAAATTAAGAGGCTGTACCGGTGTGTTTACATTGGGCTCAGACAACGAAATAACGGATTTGCTCTGTATGATAGGGGTGATGGACCAAACATCTGCGGCTCGGCAAGCTGAGGAAACGACTCAGCGCTCCATAAAGCATCGTGACGTGACGGAATTCCAACATGAACCGCACGTGACACGACGTAATCTTGATTGTACTGTTATACCTGATGTAAAGTTCTCTAACGATCTGCTTCCAGAACGCACCCAGACAAAGGAGACTGTTCACCGGCTGCCGGAATCACCTGTTCCTGCCGCGCTGGATATCGGCTCATCCGCGTTAGTCGGACACCAGTCTGATGCGGTAGGATTACTGTTCTTGGAGCACCACTGCCCAGGACAGGTTACAAGTGAAGGAGTTGTGGTGCCAGTTAAACTGGGTCAGAAGTTGTTCTG